CTCTTTCTCTTCTGAACTTTCTCTTCTCTCTGCCTCTGCCCTGCTCTGCTTTTCATCTGTCCATATTGTCGGAAGTTTAGCTTCTCAACTTCCTTCGACAATATAGTTAAAGATATGTATCTATATATATATACACATAATAATTCCATGATATATATATATACATACTAAATAATCTCAATATACATATAGATTCGTATATATATATATATATGCATACTCTACCCAGCAATTGTGGGATATTGCGCTTTGGCTAGTGGTTGCCGAAGCATAATCGCTGCCCCTTGCTCAGCATATCTAGATCATTTGGTGGATTTTCCGCAAGGGTTCCTCCAAGATATTCTCTTCAACCAAAAGACTTCGCTAATGACATTTCAATATGTTTCATATATATGTATATTCGTATATATATAGTTATCATGTATAATAACTAGAACACCTATAATGACTAGAATTACTATAATAACTAGAACATAATTATCACAACTATATTGAACCCCCCCCTTCGATTCCCCCAAGGTCCGCCTCTAAAGCCGCGTTTGCAAGAAGTCACCCCGCGGGCCCACTTTTTGCACCAAGATTCCAGCACCAGGATAGCCCTAAGTCAGTTGCTTTGGGTACATGCTGGGGTCAAAACACCACGTTTGTGAATCCCACACTGTTCTACACATGTACACACCAGAATCAACCCCATCCGCGTTGCAACAATGTGCTGCCCCCAGTTACACGTTGCCTCGCAAACCCCATAACCTGATATTTATACATATATCTAACTATATGTATGTATTTATATATATATATATGTCTGTGTGTCTGTGTGTGTGTCGTGTCCCCCCTCCCTGAAACCTACCTTTTTGGTACCCGCCCTCGAGTCCAAGCCCAGAAGACTTTTTTCGATATCCGCCCCAACTCCACCCACGTCCGTCCGCAGCGGATATGCCTCGTTCCCTTGCTCTCTTCTCCTGTTCCAACCCACGCCTACCTTTCGATCTTTCACCCTTCCCTCTCAAGTACTCGTAGCCTTTGTGTTAGGTGTTATATATATAATTATATATATATAATTTAATATATTTTAAATATGTATAATATCTATAATCAATAATATATATTATATATAATATTATATATATATAATATACAATATTTCGTTAACAAAAAGACTGCTTTTGATGGATGTCATTGACTCAATAAGATGACTGTTTGATGACTTGATGCAGAGGTTTTTTTCCGCTCCGATTGACTCGGCAGGACGCCGAGCTGATTGCCAACGAGATGGAAGAGTTGTATCAGAAGAAACGGCCTGAATACATCGAGATTCCGAGGACGAACATGGCTTGAAAATGGCTTGAAACAAAATTCAAAAATAAACTCAATCATTTGTAGAAATCAATCAAAGCTACAATCATGGATTCTGATAGCCAACACACAGTTGCACTTGAGAGTGTTGTTGTAAATGGCCTTGTCTTTATTCTTGGGTGTGTAGCCACAAATCCAGTCAGCATCACTGTTCCCTATTTTTTCCATCAATAATAATACTAATCATGTTCCCTATATACATGAAGTATTATATACCTGATATTGATTCACCATAGATTGGGGGTTTCTTGTATGGCGCATGGGAAAAAACCCAACGTCGATCAGGCGGAAGAGGGAAGTCTTTGAGCCCATGACACCTTTCCCGTCTCCACCGTCTGGGCCGGGGAAGTCGCCCTCAGAGGAGGTCCGGGGGGGTAAATGTTTGCCGCTGGAAATTAGAAACGCTAAACATATATTAAACAATTAAACAATGTATATATTTTCATATATATATATGTATATATGATCCAGTCCCCCGGCCACCCCCCCCCCATGGTATCCCCCCCACATACATACAAAGACACAGATATGCATACCTACCTACATACATTCCTACTACATTCCTACTACATTCCCACCTACCTACCTACCTACCTACCTACCTACCTACCTACCTACCTACCTACCTACACACATACACACATACATACATACATACATACATACATACATACATACATACATACATACATACATACATACATACATACATACATACATACATTACGTCACATTACATTACATTACAATACAATACCATACAATACCATACAATGCCATGCCATACAATACCATACAATACCATGCCATACAATACCATACAATACCATACAATACCATACAATACCATACAATACCATACAATACCATACAATACCATACAATGCCATGCCATACAATACCATACAATACCATACAATACCATACAATACCATACAATACCATACAATACCATACCATACAATACCATACAATACCATACAATACCATACAATACCATACAATACCAGACAATACCATACAATACCATACATACATAGATACATACATACATACATACATACACAGACATACACACAGACATACACACAGACATACACACAGACATACACACAGACATACACACAGACATACACACAGACATACACACAGACATACACAGACATGCATGCACACACACACACAGACATACACACAGACATACACACAGACATACACACACAGACATACACACAGACATGCACACAGACATGCATGCACACAGACATGCATGCACACAGACATGCATGCACACAGACATGCATGCACACAGACATGCATGCATACATCCATACATGCATACATGCATACATGCATACATCCATACATCCATACATCCATACATCCATACATCCATACATCCATACATCCATACATCCATCCATCCATCCATCCATCCATCCATCCATCCATCCATCCATCCATACATACATACATACATACACACATACACACACATACACACATACACACACTTACTTTTGACCCCCCCACACTGCCACATACCCCCACCACAGGGGGGGAGAGATAGACAAAGACATACATGGCTTGCTGCAGACATACAGACCATGACATACCCCGGGGTTGTGAGGGGGGGTTTGGAGAGGCTGGCATATATATATATATATAATTATATACGTACTGTAATTATAACGATACAATCATATAAAGACTCATTAATCATCAATCAACCCATCATTAATCATCCATAACCCTTCACATTCACTTTGCTCTCTATGATTCCATTCCATTGTTCAGCAGACTTGAGTCTCTTGTTGCAGTTGTGATGTTTTGGACAGTGGGGCACGACGAGTTGCTAGGACGATCACGTGGATGGAGAGACAAGCCTTGCCCGGCAGGACAAGAAACTGTTCTAACGTGGTGATCAGAATGTAGTACTGTAGATACATCCATGGTTTTCCATGGTGTTCCATGGTTTTCCGGTTGTAGACCGGTTTCCCATGGTTTTCCAGTTTTCCCCCTGACGGAGGACAGCAACATAGACCTTGAAGGCTTAGAGGAAGCCATGGCTCAAAGTGTGGCCGCTTTGGCAAGGGCAAAAGAAGGGAGCCCCCAACGTGAGCGTCCAGGCTTGGCAGACTCGCCGCAGTTGTCATGATGAACTTTGCCTAAGCACACTACACAGCGGCCCAGGATGAACCTTGGCCTTACATGCTTCCAAGAGTAAAGTGCAGAGTAGCTGGTAAGGGACAGACATATTGAAGAAGAATCTGAAAAAATCATGGCATGAAGCCATGTGCAAACTGCATTTGAGCGGGGACTATTTTAGAACTCCAACCAGCCAAAGAGTTGTTCCAACACGTTCCAAAGCGCGAACTTTGTTGATGCTCCTAGACCACCCTGGTGCCAAAAGAACAATCCGTGCGGATACCGAACAAAGGAACAATTCAAACATTCAACACACTGCGAATGTGTTTTCAAAAGCCCGTGTAAAGTCCAAAGCACTTCAACGGCAGAAGCCGAAACTGTCAATCTGGGTTTCTTTCAACACTCTTTCAAGATAGATGGATCACACGAATACAGGTCAAGATATGTTGAGGCGGCAATGAAGATATGTGCTTTTGGACGTGAATGTCTTTTGATCCGAAGTTTGCAAGGAAAAAGGACTGTTTGATCACATCATGACACTGCTTTTGCCACCCAGAATTTTGCTCCTGGGGGCCATCGCACAGTAGCCAGTCACTCGTTCAACGCATGTCGCCAGAATCTGAATGCGTTTTCTCCCAAGCTATCAAACTGGATCCAAGTAAATTTCCCCCAAACTTACGTAATTGCTACGTACAAAGTGAGTTCTTGCATGATCAGCACAAAGAAATAGAAAGAAACTCAGAACTTGGTCAATTTTTGCCTGTCATGCACTGAGCACGGATTCTTTTGGGTGACAAACTTTGTTGCAGCCACATGTTTTCTTTATCGTTCAGACCACCTGGCACAGGAGGCAAAGTCAGGAGCAGACAATGGGTTTGTTTAAAACTATTTGATACCCAAAAAAGTTTGAATGAAATGGCCATTTGGGAGTATAACTTTTTCCTGGACCTCCCCACATGGCAATTATAACACTCCTCTCATGAGTCAAGCAATGTAGGGCATGTGAGTGGACCAAAGAGATACGCACTGCATCATGGGGGATTCGATGCAAGTCACCTCAGGTGAAGACAAAAAGGAAAAACTGGTTGAAAACAAGCTGGCCCAGGATTTTGCGCGGCTGACTTTGCTTGGTTTGAGTTTCAGCGATGCATTCATCCAGGCATTTTGAACGATGACATAGTTTCTTGATTCTTCCGGTATCTTCAGGAGCAACCACAGAATGCACAACATGAAAGATCGGCAAAGGACATTTGCTTGGGTTCAGGAAGACAAGGTGGTTTTCTCAGCACCATGTTTCAGGGCTTTCTGGCTGAATCTAGAATAGTGTGTTTGTGGAGAATCAGGACACAGAATAAGGCATGAAGTTTCACGTATTTTCACGTGTCCAAATTCAATCAGATTCTACTAACAAGTTGGCTTTGAACTCAAACATGCTTGCTGGAAGCTTGTGGGTGAAACTTGTGCATGTCGGCAAAATCTGGCTCAACCTTTGTAGGCCCTTCGTTCCTTTGTGTAATTTTGATTCCCGGTAAAGCTCTTTCTCGGTGCGATTTTCCACCATGAGGTTGACCTTTTCCACATTGGCCGTGTCGATGCTTCCCATGATGCTTGCTTCTTCCACTTCGTGCAGTGGTCATGATTCTAGCTGCGCCGCAAATGACGTGGAGGAGGCCAATGTGCTGCTTCAGATGAGCGAGGTCAACGACATGGGCACAGATGCTCTGAAGAGTGATGATGCCATCCCACCTTAAAAGGAGACTAAGAAGAAGGGCATGACGTATGATTCTTCGCCGTTTGGTGGAAGTTTCGACACAACCCAGCCTACCGCCGCAGGTCACCCCATCCCGTTCCAACAACAACCCCCGACTTTGCTTCTTGGAAGACGTTGATATGGTCGCAACCACGCTCAAAAACCAGGTGCCGGGCATCTGAGTGGCTCCCCGCTGTTGACATTTTTCTGTTTCTTATTTTAAAGAGGGCATTAAAAAGGACCGAACACGAAACTTTAGCTTTATTACCAACTTCAACTTCAACTTCAACACCATTATCAGTATCAACATCATCAGCTTCAACATCAACATATCATCTTCAACTTCAACTTCAACATCACTATCAGTATCAACATCATCAGCTTCAACATCAACATATCATCTTCAACTTCAACATATCCTCATCATCAGCATCATCACCATCATCATCAGCAGCACCATCATCACCATCATCGTCAGCAGCAGCAGCAACATCATCACCATCATCACCATCATCACCATCATCACCATCATCACCATCATCACCATGATCACAATAATCACCATCATCGCCATCATCGCCATCATCACCATCATCACCATTAGCGCCGTTTTCACCTTCACCACCATCGTCACCATCATCACCATCATCATCATCATCAGCAGCAGCAACATCATCACCATCATATCATATCATATCATCATCATCATCATCAGCAGCAGCGACATCATCATCATCATCATCATCATCATCATCACCATCATCACCATCACCATCATCACCACCATCGTCATCGTCATCGTCATCATCATCATCATCATCATCATCATGATCATGACGTATGCGTGGAAGTGCAAGAGAACGCACAGCAGCGTAGCATGAGGCATGCGTGGTAGTGCAAGAGAACGCGCAGTAGCATGACGTATGTGTTGAAGTGGAAGAGAACACACAGTAGCGTCGCCTGATGTGTGTGTGGAAGTTTAAGAGAAGGCGCAGTAGCGTAGAATGACGTATGCGTGGAATTGCCGGAGAAAACGCACTAGCGTTGCATGACGTATGCGTGGAAGCGCTGAAGGGTACACAGTAGGGTGGCATGACGTATGATTCTTCGCCGTTTGGTGGAAGTTTCGACACAACCCAGCCTACCGCCGCAGGTCACCCCATCCCGTTCCAACAACAACCCCCGACTTTGCTTCTTGGAAGACGTTGATATGGTCGCAACCACGCTCAAAAACCAGGTGCCGGGCATCTGAGTGGCTCCCCGCTGTTGACATTTTTCTGTTTCTTATTTTAAAGAGGGCATTAAAAAGGACCAAACACGAAACTTTAGCTTTATTACCAACTTCAACTTCAACTTCAACACCATCATCAGTATCAACATCATCAGCTTCAACATCAACATATCATCTTCAACTTCAACTTCAACATCACTATCAGTATCAACATCATCAGCTTCAACATCAACATATCATCTTCAACTTCAACATATCCTCATCATCAGCATCATCACCATCATCATCATCAGCAGCACCATCATCACCATCATCGTCAGCAGCAGCAGCAACATCATCACCATCATCACCACCATCACCATCATCACCATCATCACCATCATCACCATGATCACAATAATCACCATCATCGCCATCATCGCCATCATCATCATCATCATCATCACCATCATCACCATCATCATCATCATCACCACCATCGTCATCGTCATCGTCATCGTCATCGTCATCATCATCATCATCATCAGCATCATCATCATCATCATCATCATGACGTATGCGTGGAAGTGCGAGAGAACGCACAGCAGCGTAGCATGAGGCATGCGTGGTAGTGCAAGAGAACGCGCAGTAGCGTAGCATGACGTATGTCTGGAAGCGCTGAAGAGCACACAGTAGCGTGGCATGACGTATGTGCGGAGGTGCAAGAGAACGCACAGTAGCGTAGCAAGACGTAGGTGTTGAGGTGGAAGAGAACGCACAGTAGCGTAGCATGAGGTATGTGCGGAAGCGCAAGAGAACGCACAGGGGCGTAGCATGACGTATGTGTGCACATGCAAGAGAACGCACAGTGGCGTAGCATGACGTATGTGTGCACATGCAAGAGAACGCACAGTGGCGTAGCATGACGTATGTGCGGAAGTGCTAGGGAACGCGGAGTAGCGTAGCATGACGTGTGTGTGGAAGTGTCAGAGAATCATAGAGAATGCATAGTAGCGTAGCATTACGTATATGTGGAGGCGCCAATGAATGTTTTCAGCCCACCCCACCCCACCCCGCCCACCGTTATTTTCATAGTCAGTAAGATACAACATGTATCACAATGTGACAACAGTCGCGAGCCTCTCAGATGCCCGGCACCAAAAACTAGACCAACCCCAGTTTGGGATAGTATTGGAATATTGGAATGATGTGCGCTTATACGGCAGACACGAGATCCCAGGCACCACTACGACGACAGATGCCGGGCCACTTCATTTCTGAACGTGCTGTTGGAGTTCAATCCATGCAGCTCAGCCTGAGTCTGGGCAGCTGCCTTCTGACTGGCCCTGCAAGAGAGATCCGCTGATGGACCAGATGATGGATCAACTTCGGAGCCGACCCGTGGCCAGGCCAACTGATGGGCCCAGATTGTGGCAGCCATGGTGCAGACAACCGCGACAGATGCTGACCAGACTGACATGGATGTCAGCCTGACGTGGATGGCAGCACAATAGAGGGGTTTCTGACCGATGCTGACCAGACCTGAGAGGATATGGGCAGCGCAAAATTAATGGACCGGATGGCATTTGGTTCATATTGGTTCTGGTCTTTTCGTTAAGTGGCGTTGTGGTTGGTCGGGCGAACATAAACAATGACAAAGTGTTGCGATTGTTTACTTCTGACGGTTCACTATAAATTTCCAAGTTTTCTGAGCTTAGATCCACTCTGTATTCCCCAACTTGTGTTTTGCAGGTCTACACTTACATGAGTTGGAATGAATCATTGCTGCACGTCACAATGCGTTTTTCCCTCTACATCCCTTTACAGCAAAGTATATACCGTGAGCATCCGTGAGCAAAATGTGCAAAACGTGTGAAAAACCAAACATGAAACTGTGCTTTGTAGTGGTAGCATTTGTAGGACCGCAAAAAACGAGATCGGCAAAGCGAGGGCAACTTGGACGCGCGGAATTGTGTGGAATCGCAAACCTGAAGCAAATTCCATGAGAGGGAAACATGGGAAAACCATTTGTCATAGTTCTGGAGTTGAGACATGTTGCGACATTTTAAATTTGGAAATCAGATTTCTAAGGTTTCAGCTGCGTTTTTATGTTGACCCTATTGACGGGTTTGGATGCTGTGGGTAAGTTCTTGTTTTATCTTGTTTTTGACAAGAGAGTATCCCAAAATGTTCCGGTGAATATTTCTTTATCGTCAGTGTATATACAACTACTAGTATACGTATATGTACGTTTTGCAATGTAATACTAGTATAAATCAAATTGTGTATAATATTATTATGTACGCATAATTATATATGTGTATATATATATTATATTAGATAGATACAAACCAGTTTAACCGCGAAAATGACAATAAAATGGCCATAAAAATGTCATTTTTCTTGGACACCAGGCTCGCAAAGCCCAAAGCGGAAAAATGCCAAAAAACCCGAGGCGGGGTTCAAATCCATCAACGTTGATACTGTAGAGAATGATTGACAATGGTTCATTCTGATATATTCTGATTGCGGATGAAGGTCTGGAGGGGTGATGCAGTGATGAGGGATGTTTTAGGTATCTTCGGTGTAACGCCAATTTTATCTGCTTTTCACAGGCAGCTAAAAAAAACAGCCTCAAAGTGCGAGACAGAGAACGCAGGGCCAAGCGTCCAGTGCTTCAATGAGTTGTCCGAGAACAGATTCTTAACACCGTGAGGCGTTGGACTTTCTAAAAATTCAAGACCTTTCCAAAACCAAGGTTCAGATCTCTCCAGCTCTTCTGCGTTTGGACCCTCATTTGTTTTGTTGGTTCGGCATGGCTCGGATGGTTCCGATGATTTCCGATGGTTCCGAGGTCGAGAAGAAAGAGGTGATTTGGTGCCGTAGGGCCGCTGTAGGGTGAAGCAGATGCACACAGATGCACCTTCCAGGATTCCAGGAGGATGTGAATGATATGTGAATGATATGTGAATGCAAGTTCCATCAACTTCCAAGTATTTCCAAGTCGAGTCAGAAATAGAAAACATGTGAAAACATGTGATGGTTACGTGTAGGTTCATACAGATGATTTGAACCTGTTTGCGTTCCAATCATTGTACACCTGCCAATCATCCTCACTCTGTGGCTGAACTGTGGACGGAAAATGCTCTAGATTCTAGATGGGGAAAAGGGGTCCTGATTGCCTGCCTATTTGCTGATGCTGAGCGGTGACGTGTCGGACATAATCTGCTTTGAACTTTGAACATCTTTAAACAGTACGTTTGTTTTTGCCACATTTTGCGTTCAAGTTGGATTTTGATGGTGCAGAAGCTTCGCCGCAAACCAATGTATAACTTCGGTCGGCGCAACCAAAGATGTATTTTGTGCTGAGCGTTTCCTTGTCAGACTTGACAATGCCACCGTCTTGTTTCGTAAAGCACTGTGCTGCGACCCTACGCAGTCCTACTATGCAGTGCATGCGAATGAGAAACGAACTACGGCCTGGTTCTTGGACCTTCTACGGGCCATATCTCTAGCGCGGCCAAAGTCTATTAGATTCTGTTACAAATGTATGAAATATTACAGCAGGATATAGTATTACAATATAGTAGTATGCGATATTGGACAGGAAAGGAATTGTGTGACACAAAGTTGCTAGCGGCCTAGCGTAAAGGATCCTTCCCCTATGGAAAAGTCACAGTCTCCGCGGTTGCACTAAGGTCACCATCACGCAGAAGTCCCGCTTCGGCATAGGCCAGACATGGCCAAACCGTTTATTTTTGTGCCGCCCGACATGGGCCTCCCAGCTTTCAGCTTTGGACGTCCCAGGAGATGTCTATTTTCTGGCCGTGTCCATGGGCATTTGTGAAGTCATTGAAGATGAGGCACAAGTTGGATTTGTGACATGTTGTGACCCTCTCACAGGGTGAACTCTTCATTGGCGCCGGCGTGTATTGCGTCAGATCAAACGCGTGAGCACATCGTCCATCCACTTGGAGAGCGGCAGGAGAGTGGAGGCAATGGACAGTGAGTCATGACATGTTGCGGTTTTCAAGGGACCATAAGGGACCAAATCCAACACCTGAGGATTGATCAAGTGGAATGACACGGACCCATTCATAAAGCCTTGTGGATCTTTGTGGATCTTTGTGGATTGTTCATTTTCTTTCAGGTGGACGTGATCCTGAAGCTATATGGCTTCAATGGCAACTTCGACGTTGATCGTTTGATGTCAGGATCTCAAATTTGAGCAGAATTGAGCAGCACACAGCTGTTGCGGACAATGTGCAGGGAAGCTGCACAAAGATGTGAAACAGAAGATATGGAGGAAACTTTGCAATGTTTTGATGAGATGATTTTTGATGTGTCCATTCCAAAAGGACATATTCCGTTCAAACTTTGCCACATTTCTCGGTGGGATGTCGAGGAATGTGAAGAGCATGACTGGCTTTTGGGTTGACGAGGACTAATTCCGAGCAGCAGTGACTGATTGCTGGAACTGTGGAGCCCTGGAACCTGCAGCTGGGTTAATATCTGTTGGCACTGGATGGAATCAAATTGAGATTCCATTAACAGTTGTTGATTCTTGTTTCAGCTGCGGAGTTTCTTTGATGAAATCTTCGCATATGCAAACAAACCAGTCACGTTGATTGGAGGATTTCCGGCGCTATTTGATTGCAGAACCCATTGGGGACCTCTCCTCAGACTTTTGAGTGCCTGGATCTGGCTGCTGCCGTGGTCATCGATTGGATGTTCTCGGTGAATTTTGAACGTGAGACAGGACTTGCAACCCGCACACAAAAAGAAACACACAGAAAGGGCGTGTTTATCCACCAGAAAGCATCCACCAGTGCTGATGCAGAGGTCAATGCCACCAACTTCGGGGGCACGAGCTTCTCTCCTGGCGTGCGTGTTTGGGTGGCCGGCTTAGAACAGTGTTAAAACGAACCGGACAGGCAGATGGACAATGCACGCATGAAGCTTGCGCAACCAGACACAGAGAATGGAATAGCAGAATAGCAGGTCAGTGAATCACAACATGCGCGTCATGAGATGGTGTTCAAACCATTTCAAACATGTTCAAAGAATCTCAACATGATTCAACAATATAATATGCAGCTTTAAAATGCCTTAAATACATGTGGTTTTGCATAGAACGGTACTACATAGGGTGCCAGTTGTTTTGGTTATGCTGCAAGCTGCAGACTCGCCAACTGAGGTGGACTATGTCGCACACTTCCTTTGGTGCGATGGAGGGTTGTGCTGTTTTTGGTATTTTCAGACTGGATGAATTGCAGATGCCATGGTGAAAACATGTTGAAACATGGTTGATTTGGGTGTGTTTTCCCACAACGTCAGTCTATGAATAGAGGTCAATCAACCCTATGGCATAGGTTATTGTATAGTTTTTCCATGTTTTATCCAATTTGCCAGATTTGCAAGGTTTCCTGGGTTGATTCGCGTTCAAGATCACGTAGTTCGCCCAGGTACCCCAAAGATTGGGCATATTTGCGGGATTGCGGTGGGGCAGCCTAGAAGTGGCGGCTCCATTTTGGGGATGCCGGTGGACGGTGGACATGTTGTCCAGAGCTTGTGAATCGAGAGCATGAAACATGCGGAGAGATATTGAGGGTTCCACACTTTGGTTACCCTAGACTCGGAGGGTTCCACACTTCCCAGTTATGTTGGCCAGGCTTGTTGCCAAAACATTCGGCTGAAGAGGAGATTGACCGACCTGCGTATGTCGAAAGCTAAGAGCGACCCGGAAACCCGGTTTTTTTCATAGCAGCAGATGGTCATGGTCATGGCCACTTAGCACCACTTAGCCATGTTAATATGGGATAATATGGGATTGAATGCATTTAAATGCCCCATGTAAGGAATCACAATTCACACTGCGGAGATTTCCAAGATCTGAAATTGTACACTCAAATCCTCTCCTTTCACTTGGCGGACTTGGCGAAGTTCCGAAGGTCATTGATGCCCGGCATGGGACGCAGACGAGTATGGCGATTGGCCTGGAGTCCCGGTTGGGAAAGTGTTGTGTTTCGGCTTTCCGATCTTTCCGCGCCTGGAATGATCAACAAGTGCTTCTTTCTATGCGAATCTGAAGGGGCAAAAGAATTGAAAGGGAAGATGCAGCGATTGTGAATAACATAATAACATAATAACACAATAACATAATAACATAATAATAACATGATAATAAAATAATAACATAATAACAATATACAATATACACCAGCAACGACGACGACGACGACGACGACAACGACAGCGGGCAACAACAGCAACAGCAACAGCACCAGCACCAGCACAATTACCAGCACCAGCAGCAGCAGCAGCAACAGCAGCAACAACAGCAGCAACAACAGCAGCAGCAACAGCAGCAGCACCACCACGACCACCACCACCACCAACAACAATTATTATTATTATAAATAAGAAACTAAACATAATAATAATGATTAGAACAAAGTATAATTGTGATAGGATTGAACATGATAATAACAACAAGAGACACTTGTCCTTGGGCTAGCTTTTGTTGCACTTTCAGGTTCAACCACACCTGCTATTGGCGAGAGTCAAATGGTGCGCAGCCAAGTTGGGCACCACTCGCAGACCCCAAGCCTTGCCCCAGGATGGTAACAGTTGGGATGGGCCAACCTTGGGGTGGTAATGGATCCAAAGTTTGATTTTTAGTACTTCACTTGTACTTGACTCTACTTAGTTTTACTATGCTTTACTTACCTGTTCTTAGCTTTACTTATATTTACTTAAGTTTACTCAACTATCTATTCTTGGCGTTGATCATTTTTGTGAAGGCTGAACAGGGGTTGCTCTGTGGTGGTTCAGGAACACAGGAGGGATCAGTTCGGCTTGTTGTGAAGTTCCACGAATGCGTTTCAGCCCATGCTGACCATTGAGGTGTCTTTGATTTGTAGACATTCCACTTGGATTTCAACAAAAACGCACAGAGTTTTCTGTTGGGCCCGCCTTCATGTCGTGTACTGAAACGGCCTGCAGAACTTGGGCTTTGTCAAGCGGCAAAAACAGCTTGAATGCCATCCGACCCAAAAGTTCGGGTCTCAGCACAGCAGAAAGGCATTTTTTTTTGGGTAGTTAGTTGGAGCACGGTCTTTATCTGGCCGTGCGTTTTCGTGCACATTGGGGGGGTGGGGTGGGGTGGGGTGGTGGGGGTGGGGTGGGGCATGTGTTAACGTTCATGTGAACTTGCTAGGTAAGTGGACTCGTCTCTGTGTGTGCCGTTATGTGCGTGTAGACATGGGTGGGGTGGGGTGGGGTGGGGCATGTGTTAACGTTCATGTGAACTTGCTAGGTAAGTGGACTCGTCTCTGTGTGTGCCGTTATGTGCGTGTAGACATGGGTGGGGTGGGGTGGGGTGGGGTGGGGCATGTGGTAACGTTCATGTGAACTTGCTAGGTAAGTGGACTCGTCTCTTGTAAGTGTTCGGGTACTTGTAACTGATACGTCATGCTGCGCTCTTGTAAGTGTTCGGGTACTTGTAACTGATACGTCATGCGACGCTCTTGCAAGTGTTCGGGTACTTGTAAATGTTTCGCGGTGTCTCCAATATAGCCGGCACTCAGACGTTGGACCGGTCTTGGAGGACTTTGAAAGAATTCCTTCCTGCTCACATGGTCTTGAAACACAAAGACCGTGGGCATTCAACGATGCACCCGTCAGTAACGCAATATGTGTTCATGTGGTGCTGGCGCTCCACCCTGGACAATCCAGATCCCCAAAGGTTCCTGGAAGAACTCGAACAGTTGCTGTGAGAAAAAAAACAATCAGAAAATGTCCGCTGGAAGTGCGATCAGTTTCTTTGGTTTCAACATCATTTACTTGTATGAATGCCTGTCTTTGGTTATAGTTAGCTGTTCGATGCAAGTGAAGGTCCGTTGCAAGGTCGTCTGGCAGGTTGTGCCACATTCATCAATACATAACATGTTGAAATCCAGGTCGGTTGCAAGGTCGTCTGGCAGGCTGTGCCAACTTCATCAATACATAACATGTGGAATTACAAAAAAATGCGTTTTCGCCTAGGGGAAACACTTGTTTTTTCATTCCTGCACCAGAATAAGGGGTTTCTTGTCTTTGAACTCACATCAAAACAATACAGGTCGAATTAGTTGGGGAGTTCTGAGAAACATCAAAAATGATAGTTTCGCCTAGGCGAAACGCTAGATTTTGATTTTATGCACCAGAATCACGGGTTTTTTGCCTTTGAAATCACATCAACCAAAATCCTATTGGCACGACCACATCAAACATCATCCATGACACCCCGTTGATCACAAAAACACCACGGCCAGATAAAGACCGTGTTCCTAGTTACAGTTAGTTTCTCTGCCACTTTTTGACTTAGGCCTTAGGCACTTTCAGCTGCACAGCTTGGCATTCTTCAACCAATTACAACTCTTGATTCCCTTACACTTTCCCCGAGACACACACCTGGGCGTTGAAGACTTTGCAGAGGACATCGACCACGCACACCTTGTGTGTTCGCTGAGGTTTTTACAAGAATGCTCCGAAGAGTGGAAGGCCTACGGACAAAAGTTTAAGGCCCACTGAGACATGGGTGACAGCAGATGGATATTTATTAAACGCAGTCTTCAAAGATGTCGGAAGAAGGCAATGCAAAACCAGGGCACTGATGGTTGGCTTGAGCCTTTGTTGTTTGCAACTTGCAGGCTTCTTTCCTCCCATTGAGCTGAGTTGGATTTCTGGTGTTTTCAAGTACTTACTATATGGATTTGCCACATTCCCATGGTTGCTGTGTTCATGTTCATTTAACCTGCTTGCCATGCTCCCCGAAAGTATCTACCATATTTTCTGGGGCTCAGGCGGCTTAATGACAAGATTAGGCATTGCTCAGGAGCTTGGAGCACCCAGAGAATGTCCGCCGTATCCCTACACTCTGAAGATCGTGGAGGCTGGGTAGCATGACACAACTTTTGTATGGCAAGATGTACAAGCACATGATAAAACTTCACAAACAGATAACTCATCCCCATCAGAATGGTAAGCCCAGGGAGTCAGAGAAGGAAAGTCTGACATGCAAAAAAAACATGAAGAAAGACATCACAAGGAGTTTTTTTTGTTGCCTCAGAGTAGACAGGAGTTACTTGCAGCCAACGAAGAAGAAGCTGCGCTGGGTGCTTAGAGACGACTTTGCTGGTTTTCTGGCTGGCGGCTAATCCATGCTAATTCTCCATCCACATCTGGTTAAATCCTATGAAACCCCGATATTGTTGGACCAAGGTTGAAAGCAGCAAGGGGCTGATGCGGCTGCGAAAGCCACATAGTTCAAAGAGATCCAAAAGGGTACAGGTGGAGCCAACAAATAACCCTTGAGGAGATAGGGAAATAGCATGAAACAGCATGGATTGCCTGTCAGCATGAGAAAGACTTCAAGCTGAATCGCAAGACCATTTAGACAGAGACGTTTGCGGTGATTCTGAACATGGGGACATTCAACATCATCGTAGTTCCATTTTTGTTCAGCAGGTTTCCAGAGATACTGACAAAATGTAACATCACCACCCCTTTTCAGGATTCCGGGGGGGGACCATACCAAAATGCAAGATACATTGTTTGGGACCACCCCCTTAAATGTAAAATTGGTCGCTGAATGTCCAAGAATACCTTCAAAATGTAAGCTTACATGTTCAAGGCCCCCCTCAAAAAAAGGTGGATTGCGAGGGTGTAATTTTCTGTGGTCTGATCAAGCAGCAATAAAAGTAATTGTCAATTGCAGAAGCTCATCCTGTTTTTGACACTGCTTGTCACTACTTTGTAAGAGACGCCGCTGTTTCAGGCTTTTAGACCTTGTATTTTTATTTCTCAGACAATTACAAGAAGGCCACAACATCATGGAGACAACCTCTACCTGAATCTACACGACATGTTCTACGGTTCCTACAAGCTTGAACTATTTGTCGAACTGATGATTGGTTCTGATGCTTGTGTGCGTGTGCGTGCGCGCACGTACTTCTCAGGTTATACTTGCACAAAGCTCTATGCACCACGTTGCCGGAATTATGTATACAACATGCATGACATGGTTCTTGCGATTTGACCTCCTGCCCTGTGTCGTGTATATACACAACATATTTACAATTAGGGCATACGTATCCCACATTTGTAGAGTCTTTGGCATTGGAAAGGCTCTCTGTGTTGGGACGCGAGTCTGAGTCATTTGACGCTACATTTGACGCCACATTTGACGCCATGAGCTCTTTGGTCGCGGAGTATGCAAGGTTCGACAGTTTCAACTGTGGCATTGGCATTTGAAAGAATGCTGTCCAATGGTAACCCCTCCTTTTTGGGCGGTTATGGTTTTTAACGCCGAGTCTTTAAACGAAAAACTACTGGGTAAGCAGAGTATTGTGTATGACTGTTCACCGCATTACTCAACACTCTTTTTCACAAAAGGCAGGATCATTCCGCTGCCAGCATTCAATGTTTCTTTCCAATGGCCAATGATTGATGTCCATCTACTGTGCGTGTTTAGGTCCTGATTTAAATATCCCAAGTAACCGGAGATGTTGGATAGCCCAAGAGTTTGTGCTTCAAAAGCATGATTTGCTTGGGAATATAACAAAGGAGTCTCCGGCATGCAACACCCCAGTGCTGGGATGCATGTTTTGAGAAGCTTTCAACTTATGGGAGGTGGTATAGGAACAGTATGCCAATGGGGTGCCCATGATTGGAGGTCCCGGAATTTGGGCCCGAAACACTATTTCATCTTTATTCGTTTGTGTTTTGCTTGTGTAGCATTTCTGTATGTGGCCAAAATCTCAGATCAAGCCTTGTCCCAATTTTATCCAATTTTTAGTTTGACATGTCCAAGATGGAAGGCTATCAGACCCTGGCCCTGTCCGAAGCACAGAACGTGGAGCAAGAGCCGGCCCTACAGATTCATGTTTGTCTACTGAGCAGCCGATGCATCACTCTGACACTTTCGCCTGGCTCACCTGTGAAAGAGCTCCAATCTGCAGCAGAAAGATATTTCAGGATGGGAGCGTTGCGAGTGTTTTCCGCCAATGGCCGCCTTCTCAAACAAGGCTGTCTCAGACTTCAAGATGTTGGTCTTCAGGATGGAGATACAGTGACAGCCATTGCGGAGCCTCTGAAAGTGGCAGCGCATCCCTGGGGCTCCATGATGTGTGCCTTCTCCATCAGTGGCCCAGTAGTTACCTGGGATGGTAAGACTGGTAAGACTGAGACGTCCATAGCGCCTTATTTGGTTGGCGTGCAGGCAGTTCAGGCCACGTCACATGCCTTTGCAGCTATTTGCCATGATGGCAGCGTGGTTTGCTGGGGTGATCCCGAAGGAGACTGCACTCAAGTGGCACAGAAATTGAGAAATGTCAAAGAAATTCAAAGAAACCATGCTGCATTCGCTGCTATCCTTACTGGTGGGACAGTTGTTTGCTGGGGTCGTCCTGAGGATGGTGGAGATTGCAGCTCGGTGCAGCAGCAACTGGCAAACGTGCAGCAAATCCAGTCAACTTCAAGTGCCTTTGCCGCACTTTGTGGCGATGGATCTGTTGTTTGTTGGGGCAATCCCACAAATGGTGGCGACAGCAGTGCAGTCCAAGATCAGCTAAAAGATGTTCGGCAGATCCAGGCCACAGGCTTCTCCTTTGCAGCTTTGCTGGCAGATGGGCGAGTGATTGCTTGGGGTTCGGAGATGCTGGGTGGAGATGTCGGGCGTGTACCATCGCGCCTGCGAAACGTGTGCCAGATCGCAGCGTCGGATGCGGCGTTCGCAGCAATCAGACAAGATGGGACTGTGGTGACTTGGGGTGCTCCCGCCAATGGAGGGGACTCCTTCAAAGTCTATGATGAGCTTCGAAATGTGAAGCATATTGCTGCCAACAGCTGTGCATTCGCTGCAATCCGTGCAGATGAAACTGTGGTGACATGGGGTCTTGGATTGCGCGGCGGTGATAGTGGCGCTGTTCAAGATCAGCTGAAGCACGTTCAACAGATCTGTGCAAGCTGGTGTGCTTTCGCTGCCATTACTTCCACTGGACATGTCGTGACATGGGGCCATCCAGATCGTGGCGGTGACAGCCGAGGAGTTCAAGACAGACTCCAAGATGTTCAACAAATTCAAGCAACCCGAAATGCGTTTGCTGCAATCCTGGCAGACGGTTCTGTGGTAACCTGGGGAGACCCAGAGTCGGGTGGAGATGCCAGCCACGTCCAAGACCAGCTGCAGGATGTTCTTCAGATTCAGGCCTCCGAATCCGCGTTTGCCGCCATCTTGGCAGATGGCAGGGTGGTTTCCTGGGGGTTCCGTACTGCCGGGGTCATCCCAACTGCAGTACATGAAAGTTCAGTTGAACTTTGATACCCTTTGAATCCCTTTGACATAGTGTAAAAGCGACCAGTTTGCGACTTTTTTAAACGTTTTTCTGCGGTGCTGTCAGGTTCTTCTCAGCACTTTTGGTAAGGGATAGGCTTGATGCAATTAGCTTGCTTCTGGTTTCCCAATAATTTGGATTTGCAGCCGAGTGTGCAACTACTGACAGCTCAAAGCAGCTTATCATCATTCTGATAGTCAGTTCCGTTTTGGCTTGACATTGCGAACAACGCAATTCTTGGAGCGAATTGCTCCTGAGTCAGAAAGGGAGCCTTGACAATCTTGACAAGCTCAGCATTCAACTTCAAATAACTTCAAGCCATCAAGTCCATCAAATACTGGAATGTACTGGATACATCTGGATACTTCTGGATACCTAAGTTGTTCAGACTGACAGGAAGGCCAGGAAGGCCTGCTTTGGTGGCCAAGCTACGTGCAGTTGCCAGAGGCATCCAAGTTGATGAACTGTCGGAAGCGATGTCGGGACTATTTTGGACTTGTGACTCATGACTCAATGGATTAATGTTTTACCACTCGAAATTGCCGGGTTTATTGCTGTTTCAGTATAATTTTAAAAAATATCGAACATATTTGAACAGAACACACATATATATATATAATATAATATAATATAATATAATATAAGCGATTTAGGTTCCTGGAGCTGGAGGTCGCCTCGGCGACGTGGACGGCGCTGTGGCTGCCCTGGAACTCTTGGCGCCAGATGTGTTGCAGCTCGGCGATGGAACTCTTGGGCTTGGGGAAGACTGGACACAGATGGGGAAGATAGATAAGTCAGATAAGTCATGATAAGTCCACATATAGTTGTGTAATGTTATGTAATATATATAGACATAATAGACATAATAATACATATACACATTAATTTACAGAAATTGTGATAATTATGTATACATAGACAGTGAATGACAATTGCAAGATGTTGTAAATATGAATAGTCAACTTTGACCATGCAGGGGTCTTTTTTTGTGGCACACATGCCCAAATCATCCCAAATCTAGGTTGGTTGGTCAATGTTGGCCATGTTTGGCACTTGTTGAAACAAGTTTCTTGTAGGACCGATTGCAGAACTCTCCATGTCTCAGACCCATATGAGTTGGGATGTAACATGCCCATCCTTTGAATCTAGAATCATCAAGAATCTGAGTGGGACAAAAAAACAAGTGCGATTCTGTAGGCCAACACTGCCGCCACGTCAGCTGGCCTTAACTACGTGGTCCTTGGCACGTTTGGAGGTGTGGGGAGAAACACCCACAGATTTCTCTTTGATGCTACATAGTGCTTCATGATGCTCCATGACATTCTGATTTGTTTAGTTCCTCCAAATCTGTCCCATGAGCAGTGGTTCCTAAAAGAGATTGCAGGGGTGTCTTCGACGAGCAAACTCAGCTTTCCACATGTCCACGTGTCAGAAGTTCTCGGACTTTGCGGCCAATTCCATCTTGCAATTTGAGAGCAGATACTGCAATTGAGAGCATAGTCCTTCATACTATATCAAAAGTTAAGAGGCAAAATATGTGTATTGATATTAGTATTGACTTATTTATCTATACAGTATCTATACAAAATGTGTATATATAATCTTAGATATATAATATGTATATTTATTATTGTTAGTTATTACCATTATTATTACTATTACTATTATTATTATTACTATATTTATATACAGTAATTTAAACACAATAACACCCCCCATCGATCCATCGACCTTCTGTGTGCAGGCAGATGGCCTCGCGACGGCCTCCGAAGATGTCCTCAGCCGCGCCAGCGAGTTCGATGTGCACGAGTGCCTCAATTTTTTGGACGAAAATCTATTCTTGTGGCATAGGATGCTATTGAATCGCCTTAACAATATTATAAATATTGATATAACACATTGGATATATATATATACATAATATGTATATATATAATATATATAATATACATTATATATGTATATGTATATATATATATATTGGATTCAATCATCTATGTTATGGCGTTTGGATGATGTTTCTCCATTTTCCAAAGTGCACTTCACTTTCTTGTTCTCTCACTGAATGCTGGGGTTTCTCCAAACCTTCGGGAGATTTTTGGAGATCGTCCAAGGCTTTCGATGATGCTGTGGGCCTTTGCATCGGGACCCGACAAGCGGTCTCCATGGTGCCACAAAGTAGATGCAGATCGGCCTGATCGGAAGGACGACTTGCCATCAGTGGAAGTTTGTTTTGATCACTTTCGCCCCCATCAGCAGATCTTGATCCAGGAGGTGGCAAAGCAGCTCATGGATGAAGCTCTGAGTGCAATGCTTGCAGCTAGTGATCGTTGTGTAGTTTGTTTATTTGACTTTTGCCCCTTGTATCTTAGATGCTGCTTTCTGTGTGCCCCAGCATGTCTTTGATGTTGACAGCAACATTGCCAGCATGTCTGGACCTAGGGCCTAGACCCCTTTGCACGGTTGGTAATCGGACATTCCATCATTTGCATCTTCCCGTGATGAGGAAAGCTGGCAGAAGCATCTATGGCTAATTTGGGCAATTTGTGCCTCAGCGAAGCCTGGTCATGCCAGTGCCGTTGCCGTTTTCATTGCATTGCTGTACTGCTGTATCTCATATCTCTTACAAAACTTTTTTTTCCACAGGATTCCAGAGGTGTCATGCTGAGTCTCCAAGTTGTTTTTTTTCCTCCAGGTTGTGGGCCAGCGCCACCTTGAACGGCATAAACCTCGTTGAAGTAGCAGAGCGGGCTGCGGTTCGCATGTGTGAGCCTGCTTTTCTGGAAGCATCACCACAAGGAATGCTGGAGATGTGCAAACGCTGGTGATGATCAAACCAAACTACATCAAACTATGATCCCTTTCAATGTTTGCCCGTGATGTTTGATCGACACATTCTACACACTGATTAAAGAATATTTTTCAGATCTCATTTGGGTCAGCACGCGTTTAATTACTTTGGGACCCGAGTTCATAGGAGTTGCCAATATGGCATGGGCCTTGGTGTTTGCATCGCCTTCCGGGATGCACCAAGCACTGAACCTTGGCCCAGAATGGCAGAATGGAGGTGTCGATGAAGACGCATCCGACGTCGTTGACGTTGGTGTCCATGATTTCTTGATATTTAGTATTAATCAATGTCAATATTTTAATTTATGTTATGTATATAGTGATATATAATGATACTGTATATATATATATAATGATATATATATATAATGATATATATATATATATATTTATAGTATGTTACACTTCTGATTTCTAGATATTTAATATTATTTACTGATATATTCAATGACATTGTTACACTTCTTTCATGTGTTTGTCTGGGGAGTCCTCTTGCCACTTAACCCAGCTGATCCAGCTGAGGACTCGAGCTGCAGAAGTCGCAGAGCTTCGCCGCTTGACAAGAATGATGGATGATGATTGAGGCTACCCCTATTTTAGGACACCTCTTAAAAAAAGATGAGGGTGGGCCCAAAAGTGGAACCACTTGATAGGTCTTGGGATCAATGATCATTGTCGCTGCATCTCTGTCATCTTTTGGACATTTTGGCATTGATTCGCAAGTGGAGACGTTTCCTAAAATGGTGGTTTTCCCAAATCATCCAAGTCATTAGACCATTTTAGTACTGAAAGATATTGAAACCCATGGTGACTTGGGGATCCCGAGGCACTCCAGAGTTCCGTCCCAGAGACTTGGCAGCTCTTGGATGGGCCTTGGCGGTGGCTGCACAGGCGCTCCCTTTCTCTCAGGATGTACCCTCTGGCTATTTAGCATAGCCATGTAATAGATGGCCCATAGAAATAGATGGTTTACCTATTAATAGCATGGTGATTTTCCATGGCTATGTTAAATAACCAGATGGTATCATGATGTATCATGTACAAGACAGTATCTGATGTATCTGGGTAATTGCATACCATTACAGTCAATCACATGATTGGCAGGATATGCGAAGTTCAAGTTCCACCACACACAGCCAGGCTGAACTGGTGCCAGAACTGTGGCTTCGAGTCGCACATGCTTCCCTTGAGGCAGCTCTTGAAGCTCCTCATGGACGCAATAGCACCTGGGCTGGAAATGGCGCCAACTTTTTCTAAAAGAAACTGGGTTTGCCCAAAAATACTGCATGCATATACGCCAAAATTGTTGTTTAAAATGGGTTTGTCAAGAAATTGCAGACTGGCAATTTTACTTCCACGATTCCGAACCCATGTCCAAATAGAACTATGTAGATATCTTTAAATGGGAACATGATCAAGTGGATCCTCAAAACCCATGGTGGGATGAACATCGCTATCAGCAATTTTGATGCTAGCAGGGTCTTGATTTACACCATCACAAAGATTCACCAAGTTTGTCAAGAAGACAAACATGATGGATCCGAAACCAGCTGCAAGAGGGACTAGTCACTGCATGACTGTTACTGTACGTTGCTGTCCAATTGATCGTTCGAGCACTCATTCCAGTGAAAGACTTGTGAGGTGGAAAGCTTTTGGCGCAGACAGCCTGGGTGCGCACCAGAAAGTTGTTGTAACGATTCTTTTGAGACACATATGACACATGCATTTCATTGCATTGTTCCTTCAGAGATTGCAGACATGTCCAGATTCGCTGAAGGCGTGCGCATCGATCCGGACGTCTTCGGAGCCCTTGTGGAAAGCTTGGAACGTAGAATGTTTTGCTCGACCATTTCCCACTGGGAAAGCTTCAGGTGGAACAGGCTAGCAGCTGGGTTGGCTCACTGCGCAGGACAAATGGCATCCGCATGGGTGATTCTTAAAATATCTTAAAACGGGGGATGCCCAAAAATGGTCTCTTGAAGTCTTTTGAATATGATGACAATCAGATACAATCAGTAGATTTGGGATATATTGGACAAAGCCAAAGCATCCCACATCACCCACATCTCTGAACGTTGACGTCCTTGGATCATGGAGGAGACAGCTTATCGAGCCAGGATGTGGCTAATGGAATTTGGGCGTCACTCAGAGTTAAAATTGGGTGTGTTGTGGAGCTAGAATTCACTACATCACATGGGTTCATCAAAGTATTGTTCAATCAAAAAGACTATGAAGACGATGGTACTGATACGCAACTGGTAACGCAAAAAAAAACTCAAGAAGATAGAACGATAGAACAGTATATAACTTACCCCATTTTGGTAGGATTGTACTTTTCTATCTTGAAATTTCTTGGGGGGGTGCTATAATACAGCTGTTGTGCTTCTGCATTTCTATGATGTCTATGCCTTTCTGAGGCTGTCAACCATGTCCTGCCAGCCATCCTCACTGGAGGCAATTGATCGGGAGGCAACGGTTGGATGTTGCAGCAGGAGTGAACTGCCAGGCGTTGGTTGCCGTGGCGCAAGGCCGAATTCAGAGCTTCGAGCCAAGACAGTGGCTGAGAGGCAAATAGAATAAATCTGAAGGGTGATAAGGAGTTTCTCATAGTTTCTCCTTGCCCTTAACAGGCTATTTTTGCCTATGATGTCTTAAACAAAAACTTGGCAGATGTTGGTCATTTGATTCGGATGTTGGTGATTTGATTCGGACCAGAAGACAAGGACGTTGGGACTGAGGACTTGGGGATTGCTGAGAAATTCTGTTGAGAGAGCAGGAGGACTGGTTGACCCACTGCTAGTTTAAAACTCCACAATTGTGTGCTGGAATCACTATGCATAGCAGCCACCGCCTTCAAACTCCTCTCAAAAGGAAGTGAGACAATGTGAGACCAAAAAAGGTTGAGACTTGACCGAAAAAGGTTGACACATGCCCCTCTTGAAGTTGAAACTCAGGCTTGCGGCATGCGTCCGAAACCCCAGCTGTTTCAATACAAGAAGAAGCGGAAACAAAAATGCGGTTTTGATGCGTTCCAGGAATAATTTATGTCGGTCAGATGGAAACAATCATTTACAGCCTCGAAAAAACAGGGCGTTTGCACTATTATTGAGGCATGGGCACTCGCAACAACGAGAGATCATTCCAGCAGTTGGTTGGAGGAGTGAACCTGTCATTGTGTCATGTAGCTTCTGTCTGCAGTGGCTTCAATATGCCACAGTCTAGTCATGTCTAGAGTCTAGTTAGCTTGAAGAGGTGGAACAAATGCAGAGTTCTTTTCAGCGTTTTTCACCTGAGTTTTCAAGTTGTGGAGACAGCACATTGCCTCCAAATGCCACACAGAATGCTTCGGGACACTTTGTCAATGCAGGCCCTGGCCTCCGCAGCGGCTGTAGCCACTAGCCCTGGTGCTTTGCCGCTGCTGGGTGCCAGCGCTTGGGCACTGGCAAGCTGTGACAAACCAGAATTGCTGCAGGCGGTTGAACTCCGTATCATTTACGCCTTTACGCGCTTTGAGCTTGCAAGTCACATGGAGAAAAACTCTACGTGTTTTTTCAAAATCGTGAGCCGTCCACCAGGCATTGCTGCCGACCATTGCTCCTCTGTTGAAGTGTGCTGACAGCCCATCACACGAAGCAATGCTGCAACTGGCCCCTTGGTGCAAATAATCACATATATATAATTATATATATACACACATTATATCATTATATAATATATTATAATATATTTATATATGCTGATGGTCATGATGGTGGCTGCAACCATTGGACCCTGGGTTTCGAGAGTACAATCCTGTGAAGGCATGGTCTATCTCCTTGAGCGGCTTGAGCACTTCACAGAGGCCCAGTGTCTATTTCCCATGGCCAGCCAGAGAGCATGCTGGTCAACTTATCAAAGATATTCAAAGATGAGATACCCTCTGGTTATTTAACGTAGCCATGGAAAATGGCCCATTTATAGTGGATTTTCCCATTAAAAATGGTGATTTTGCATGGCTATGTTAAATAACCAAATGGTAAGATCTAATTAATCGCATTCTTGGAAGCCACCTTTCAAGAGTTGGATTTCCAACACACTATTCATCTCAACTTCTGTACATACCTACGATATTGTTCAGAAGCACCTCTGACGGCAGGCCATTGTTGGATAACATCGAAGAGCTGCTTCGTTTGGAAGGAAAACTCCGGGATGGTACGAGGCGGGGAGATGCGGCTCCGCAGCCATTGAGGCAGGCCATGCATTTTGCATCCTGGACCAGCTTGTCTACTATATTGTTAGGGAATGTTAGGGAAACATGCTGAAACTGGGTTTAAATATGTTTAAATCCAAAATCAATGATGGAAGCCTGCGATGCAGGGCATTGCAAGAAAGCCCAGAGAAATAAACCATCAACAACACAGCTTCCATTTTTGGACCACTGCCATTTTTTTGGGCCACGCAGGAGTGACAAAGTGAATCCTCTGCAAATCCCAGAGGTTCACCAATGCTTCACCAAGGCCCTGGCCCCTCAGTTTGGGAGTACAACGATGACATGACATGGCTATGTCAAAGATTCACAGGGGACTTCCGGCATTGCCTGAGAAATGACAGATACTAAAGTTTACTCAGAGTTCTCTACTCTTTGTCGTTTGCGGTTTCATGTTTTTTCTCCTTCCAAGAAGGTTTTTCCCTGCCTAGTATTTCGACATATTTCGACAATGTTCAATCATTATTCTGGTGTTTTGGTGGATTTGGATGGCTGGGGATTTGGTCGATGAGACCATGGTGACATACCCAACCAAAAAAATCCCCATCTGCAACAGGTGCTTGCCATGGCGGAATTGCCCCGCATCGTCTTTCAGGATGGGTCTAACCAAACCTCCGGTCGGTTTTGATGAAATCCATCATTCATCAGGCCGTGTCCGAATTTTTGGGCACCCCCATGGCACCCGGAAATAAATCAACTGATCAGTCATGAAAAAACAGCCCTAAACTTGGGAGTAAATCATTTTTTTGCTGTCAAAATGATACATAGAACATCCCAAATTTGACTCATCGATCTGCTCAAGATCCCTTCGTCTCCTTTCTGTGCTTCACTGGAGGATAAAGATCTGGTCATTCTCTACAAGCCCATTCATTGGGAGGCATCGACATGATACTTGGACTGGCTCCGGTTTGGTTGATTGTCGAGGAGTCAGCAGTTTGTTGACCGATGGCTTTTGGGCAGGTTGATGATGGAATCACTGGCAAACTATCCTCAGGTGATGCGCTGAGACAGAGCAGATCTGAGCAGATGTTGTATGATTTGTATGTAGCTGGGCATTTTCTGTCTTGTTCCATCTTGTTCCACTCTTGACATCCCAAGGGCGACGACCTTTGCCTTTGTCAGCCTTCATGCAGCAGCGCTTCCCAAACAGGCCTTTTGGCTTCACATGTTCTTTAGTGAACTGAGGCAGCAAGCCCCAATAGGATCAGGTAAGTGCATTTGATGCGATTTGAAGATTGGCCACTTAGTTACTTAGTGGACGTGAATGAAATGAAATGAAATGAGATGCCTGGGAGTTGTGAGAGAGGCCCATCTTGCACGACACCAGTCTTGGGTGTGGTTTTCAGGGTCTTCCCGACTGGCTTATGCTGATGGGGGAGTACTGTTGCAGACAGCATGGGAATTTCTCAGCTGTTTTTAGACAAAATTACCACTGGAAGAGCTGTTCATGTCAGGACGCCTAGATGTTCAATCTTCCGGTTTGGTGATGTGCGCTTTAACGTACGAGGCACGAACACCTTTGGATTGCTGGAGAGTGGAAAGAGCGTTTGAACATTGCAAATGGTGAGAAACCATTCGCAGATCTTTTTGTGAAGTCGCTGGCCGTGTTTAGTTGTTCAAGCCGTTTTGGTCCATTCCAATTCTAAGTGCCTCATCCATACAAAATTTCGGACCTACCTTTCAGCCAGGCTTTTTTCTTGTTGCAGTTTAGGCAGGACACCCACGATGTGGCCAGGACCTCAAAAACACAGTGAGTTTCTTGTGCCCGTGCTTAGCCGGCCATCTCCTCCAACCTCCCAGGCACGCGAGTACTTGGTACTTTGCCACGGTTTGGTGCCACAGGAGTTGAACGAGGCGCGCCTAGAGATGGATCGCCCACCACGCTGTGAACATGTTTGAAGCATAAGCTGGTCGGCCAAAGGCATGTCCTACGAAAATATGCAGCAAACATGAGAAGTCTGGAAAAGATTGGTACCCATTGGCACCCTATGTTTGCACATGTTTGCACTAATAATCACTAGTATATCTACCGTCTGGTAATTTAATATGGCCATGGAAAATCACCATGCAATTAATAGGTAAACCATCTATTTCTATGGGCCATCTATACCATGGCTATGTTAGTCATAACCAGAGGGTAATATTATGGCGCTGACAGATCCGAGCACCTCTTTGGAGCAAAGAATCCTCCAGCCGCGTGGATTTCGTTCGTGGCGCAGCCGCCAAGACCCTCTTGCAGCCAATTGCTTGGTTGGGGGTTCCCAGCCTGGGGACCTTGTAGATTTCACACCAGTCCTGAACAATGATGAACAATGGTCAATATATGTCTTTTTTGTGGTGTTTTGCAGGGAAACCAAACAGTTTTGTCAATATTGTCAACCTACTTGCAGACCCTGTCAAAATCTCTCCATGAAATTTGGCTTTTCTTGTGGACAGGACTTCTTTTTGGACAATTCCCGTTTGATCGTTTTTGCGCCGGTTGTACTTTCGGCAACAAGGTTCAGAAGAGATGGATCTGAGAATGAACACTACAGCATTTTGGCAGCAGAAAGCTTTGATCCATACTACTTTCTGGACCGTTGGCACTGTTATTTGTCAAATGAACTAGATGACATCTCATCCATGCCACTCCTGCTACACATACTTCAAGGCGTGCAAATCAAGAAATGTAAAACGAGTTGACTTTTCATTGGCTCTTGCGAGGCTTGCTGGTGATTTCCATTGTGACTGGAAGCTCCTTGCCTGAAGTTCTTCCAAAATGTTTGGGTTCGCTGCATACAAAACGCGGTTGCTTCGATGAACGTAACGCATCTTAACGCATATTATGGTCATTTAAGCTGCATCCAGGGTCGCTTCACCGACTTCTTGAAATGATTCATGCGGGATATTCGAGCAAGCCAACACCCAGTTGGAAATTGGTCAAAGCTCCAGTTTTTTTTTTGGCCCAGGAAAGCACCAGATTCGCTGCCATTTGGCGCATGTGGGGCACCCTGTTGTTTGCGACGGGCGCTATGCGGCAGAGGACATCGAGATGTCTTCCTTTTATGCCGCTGTGTAGCTCATGATATACACAGCTTTCAGGAAAGGATTGACATTTTGTATCTAAAGATTCTAAAGACTCTTGATGCAACTTGAAGGAGCTCTTTAAGGACGTGACGTGGTGTCCTCGCAATTTCCTTCACCGCTTTCGCATCGAACTCCCGGGTAGCTTGGTTGGTAGCAACACATGTGACCAGCGAACCTTAAAACGACATGATCAATTGCGAAGCTTCAATGCTGCTGTTTATGACCTTCGGATCACATCAACCAGTTACAGAGCCTTTTCACATTTTCCAATATGATAGATCCCGACTTGTTGTTAGCATATATATATATACACATATATTGTAGGACTCTGAGAAACACTGCTGAGAGTCTGAGAGCAACAAATCGACGAACATCATGAACATCCAGACCTTCAGCCAACGCCTCCGCAACGCAGTTGGAACTCAGGCATTGCATCCAGGGAAAAGGTCGAAGCCTGCGATTCGCTGCCCAGAGACCTGCAGCAAGTCCTGGGTTTGGACCCAAGCGACTGGTTGGCTGTGTTGGATCATGTTGAATCATGTTGGATCAGATATTGGATCATGTTTCCCTGAATCTGTCAATTTCCCTGGCCCTTTTTGGTTTCGATAATTTTTGATAAAAAAAATAATGAAGAGCTTGGTATTCTGTGGCATGAGGTCAGCTAATGCCTGCCGATCCAGCGTCGGCCGCAGTTCAAAAAGATCTTGTCGCTGGGGAGGTGCGGAGCATTCTGACATCTACCATCAGATTTGTGCCATTTGTATCCATGTGTTACCACATCCAATGAGACTGTTGGCATTGGTTTTGAAAACATGTATATATATATATAATTATTACTTTCTTTATATTTTTTGTTATTTGTTTTCTTGCTTCAATGTTTCTTTCGTGTGTCCTGTTACGCTCTCTTATATGTCATATCATTGCATGTAAAGATATGTAAAGATACGTAAAGATTCCTTTTTTACACATCAGTGCAACTATGTGCAACTATTGCATTCAGTTGAAAGTGTCGTACCTTCCACAATGCTGGGCTCAGGAGCCTGTGCCGTTTGCAGATTGGCTTCTCGTCACAGAAAAACACATGTCGGCTGCTTTGAGTTCCATCGCTGGAGTCTGCACCATTGTGGAGGCAAAACTAAGCAACAAAAAACCTGATTGAATGTTAAAGTGTTAAAGTGTGATCGAAGTGCTCTATCAGGATGATGTCCTGTTTGGTGCCCACCTGTGTGTTGCATTTTGCTTGATTCAGCTGCATTGAAGCCCCAACAGCAAGAAATGATCAAGAAATGGTGGCAACGCATCCTTTAGGGCTTCCATTTAGTTGGCGATTACAGAGTATCAAGCTGCAACTGATTCACTTCTCTTCAAACGAAATGCAATTGTATTATATAAATTTATATAATTGTATTAATTGTATTGTTGTTTCCACCGGGGTCGCAGTGTCACATGGCCGTCGATGGCAGCCGACCCGCCCCACTTGGATTTGACCTTGCCTCCAGCAAAGGCAAGAGGTGATTGTTTGCTGACTCGGAGACTGGAAAACATGCGCTCTTTCTTCCAATCAATTCCATTGTGCTTACAGATGGTGTACTAATGAATTTAGGCGATGTTAGCAGAAATAAGGCATTGATGTCTCAAGAAGATCGGTTGCTCCGAAGGCAGTTTTCCTGGCAGATCAGGCGCCATGGTGGCTGTTTGAGTCCAACACTTGAAACGTTGATGGTCACGGTCGTGCACATGTCTGAAAATGGGGTATACATCGTTATAGCCACCAAATTTACAAGGGAATATGAAGATCTATAATCCATTGGAATTGGGAGTATCCTAGTTTCAGACAAACTTCATATTTCTGCTGTGCTTTCCTCAGTTGTGGATCTTTGCAAACCAAATCCACCACAGGCTCAAGATCAAGAGGGCCTGCGCGTTGCATCAACGTGCCTTGACAAACGACCGGCAATAGATTTGTATGACGAGCATGCGCATGGGAATGCGTGGGCCATTGCATGTTGACATTGTATGATATATTTTGATATATTTTGTTGTTCTCCAAAGTTGAACTCTTGCTTTGAGCCTTGAATTTCACAGTGCCGAGGCTCTTTGCCGCAGAGTCTGGCAATATAGAAGAACTGAAACTCCAGCTGGAAGTGGGCATGAACCCCAATGTGCCTTGGCGATGCGTGAAGCGATGGAGAGTGTTGAAGATGGTCACAGTTTCACGACAGGTTAGAGACGGCTATGGGCGGACTCCCCTACATCTAGCAGCGTGGATGGGCCATGTTGAAGATGCTTGGCCAAGAATCCGACAAAGTCAGCCACAGTTGTTGGTCAATATTGGTAGTAACATGTAGCAACCATCCATTTCTGAGGGATATCTGGGTTTCCCAAGTTTGATGTTTTTCCAATCTGTACCAGGCGAAGAGTTTTCCAGGTGCAATGTATCTCAAAGAAATCGTTTGTTTTGGAGCTCCATCGAGGTGGTAGAGAAGCTCTTGGAACACCCCAAGTGTATGGTCAACGTCTCTTGCTGCAGAGTTCATCATTGAAAGTGTTCAACATTTGGAGATGCCATAGTGGATGACAGAGAGCTGACGTTTTTTGCAAGATTTGCAAGGCTTTGGATGCCCATGAGCGCACACCATTGGGTTTGGCGATGCTGGAGCAGAGGTACTCCAGTCAGCCAAGTCCTTACCATCTTGCGACTGACGGCCACATCATTCATACACAAGTCCAGCTATCGTTTGTGTGTTCTTGTCTGGTGGCCACAGGCCCACGTGACTCATTCTTATCAGAAATAAAACCTCAGAGGCCTAGAGATTAGTATAAGAGTCTCGTCGAATTACTGAGAGAGGTTCCCTGTTCCACCGTGTGTGGCACCGAATGCCTCACAAAGGTCTGTGAAAGACAACAAGCAGAAGGTTGCCGGGCTCCTCCGCAAAAGCGGCGGATTCTCAGCTGAGACAAAGTTTTCGTGATCCAAAAACCATAAGGGGCGAACCATGGCGAACCTGAAGGGATGACATCGGAAATATGGAGCACACGTCAAGCTAGCTCTGAACAGGTTGCGAGTCTGGTTTGTAGTTGTTGCAAAATAGTACTCTATCAAACAGGCAGCTCCCGGTTTCATCAAAGTGGTGAAGTTTCATCATGTTTGAACACTAAGTGCGAGTGGTACATGTCAGGGACTCTTGTCATGAGACCTGTGTCCAAGGTAAGCGAGCAGCCTTGTACAAGAAGGAATATCCGTTGCTGGGTTGCATGTGAGGAAATCCCCTGACACAGTGACATAGTTCGAATAGAACAACATAGATCAGCAGTGGTAGGTGTTGTGCATCCTGCACGCTCAGGTCAGGCCCAGCATGATGAGGGTGATGTGAGAGGAACTGCGTTTTTGCTCTCTGTTTAAACTGTGCAGGAGCATGCAGGACTCCATCTCACCTCATCCCGAGTTTTTCAATGAATGTTGCAGTACACTACAAAGACGTTGTTTCATTTTGGAGTTGTGCAAAGCAACACAAGAAGCTGAATGATCGCTGGACAGAATTTTGTGAATGATCTATGGCATGAAATGTCGCCAAACCTTGCCACCAGCACTCCATACCTCTCCATACTAATACCTGCGGCATGACCATGTTGTGCAATTTTTATGGTATTTTGCGATGCTGATGAATAATGGTGAATCGCAAACTCTTATCCTCTCATCATTTATGCATGATGTACCTATTAAAGCTGATCGTTTTCCATGTCTAAAGAAGACGTCCTCACCTTCGTTCTGTGTGACTGCGATAAGAATGGAGATCACCTTCCGCGAGGAATGGACCACCAGCTGCAATAAAGGGCACCATTTAACGATCCAATTCAGTGGTCAACCGTGGTTACTACTGTAGGGGATGTAGGTACGTAATATGATGTAATTGAGGGGCAGCATTAGTGAAATGTATGACCTGTAAGAGCCCTTTGTTGTGGTTGGCAAAATGATTTTCCTGGACAGAGTAGTGGTGGGAGATGGTGGGAGGCTTCTGCTGGGCAGTGGCACGTTTTGCCACCTTCCGAGCGGCTTTGGATGCCCCAGATGCAACAGAAAAGGTTAGAAAATGGTCCGTTCATGTCCGTTCGTTTCAGGTAATGAGGAGAATGCAGCAGAACGCTTTGCACTTTTTGATTTGGTTAGTCGGTTAGTCTATGTGTTGGACATATGCTGCATTTAGATCAAACCTTGCATTCCTCCGCTCGCAAGTGCTTCTAGTTTGGCACTTAATTAACTAGCAACAGAGGCATTTGGATTTTGTTCACATGCCAATTCCAAGTATCCACTGCTATCCCCTGAATTCCCCTGCCTTTAAGATCCTAAGGTCTTTTGTGAAGTCGACGATGCCAAGGGCCCCCAAGCCTTGCCGAAAGAGGACTGCCGATGCCGACGCTGAGGTGTCGAAGGAGCCGCAGAAAGCTGCTCGTCGTGAGTCGCAGTCGCCCAAAATGGTGGAAACCCTGGTGAAATCCTTCAAATCCTGGGTGGCCACTGGGCAGGGTACTGCAGCCTTGCCTCTGGAACTGATTGAGAAGCTGTCACATCAAATTTGGGAAGTGAAGATGTCCTCATGGAAATGTGAAACTGGAAAGGATGTGGCTGATTTGGCATGTGTTTCAGCATTGGATGATGTGGTGACTGCGGTCTTCAAGGCTATCGAAAAGAAGTGCCTAACAGCTGGAGATTTGGAGAAGAACCGATGCAAAGCATCAGTGGTAAAGTTGCAGAACAGCTCCGCAGGTCTGGTTTTGGCAGCTATAGTTTTGGACCTGTCTGCCTTCCAACAACCCAGCCGGGAGCAAGCCAAGGCCACTTCGCCTCAAATCCAACCCGGTGAAGAAGTCGTTGCTAGCGCAATGTCCTTTCTGTGGCACCAAGCGCGATTTGCTTTGCCAACCTTGCTGGAAAGCAAGGCATCCACGGAGGCGGCTTCCACCTGTGCAGGACTTGCCCGAACCATTCGTTCCATTCATCATATCTTGGCAGCACGCCGTTACACCAGCAACGCTTTGCCTGCGGCATGTCTTGCTCACAAAGCAGCTCCAATGGCAGCCCAATGCGTGACTCTGGCAGCATCGCTGACATCTACCTCTGCTGCCTGCGTCAAGACTGCACTGGCGACTTTGGGCGAAGCCTCCTCCGATTTGTTGGTAGGCCTGTCTGGCTACGGTTGTGCGGAATCCGCCCTGCAGAGTTTTGCCATGACCGAATTTGGCCGGCTTGCAACACTGAGCTCCATGTTCGTGAACAGCTTGAGCGCAAACAGCAAGGGTTCTGGTCGTGGAGCTCAACACGGACCGTCCTTCCTGGCTTTGGTTCTGCGAGCAATTGGTGCCCCACTGTTGCCTCTAGGCCTTTACAGCAAAGACCCCAAAGATCTGAGCCAAATGGCGGTAGAACGAGTTGCAGCAGCAGACACTCGTGCGGGGCACCTTGCAGCAGTTGTGATTCAGCACAGCCTCTTGGAATCCGAGCGAAGTGAAGCAATGCACGCCTTGGTGCAGCAGCTTTGCGCAGCATGTGGTGACCCCTTCTGGGCCGCCGCGCCATTGTATGCCTTGCGCCTGGTAGGAGCACTGAGTCGTGTGGCCGGTGCTTCCAGGATGATCGACTTGGATTGCTCCCAGAGGGAGGAGGCTACCCGTCTGTTGGCAAAGGCTGCTGAGGCCCTGACCATTTCGGCGCATGAGGCGAAACAAATCCAGCTGTGCCGCTGCTGTGGGGCAGAAGCTGGTCCAGATTGTGAACTTTGCATGTTGAAGGCCTGGGCACCAGAGAGGAAGCGTGAAGGGAAAAGCATCAAAATGCCAAAGGATCCGCTTGCTTTGGTGATCTCCTTGGTGGATGCTGTTGCGGCAGATGATGGCCTGTTGGCACCAGCTTCCGCTCGGTGGGCAGCCGGAGAGTTGCAAGGAAGTGCACTTTCAGCGAACAATGCCCGCTGCAACGTGCTGGCCTCAGAGAGATTCAGAAGGTCGTGGCATGTCGTTGCATTTTGTGTCCAAAGGTTATTTTTATGCAAGCTCAGTGAGGAAATTCTGTCGGGACATTGTTGAACCATGTTGAACTCGCAGCTGGCTTTTGACAGCAGCATCCAACTCAAGCTTCACAGAAGAGCTCACTGTCTCAGGCTGCAGCTTTGCTTTGCCTATCTTTGGCAAGCCCGATGGCTTGCAAAAAGCGGAAGGATGCCAAGAATGTGGCTGCCACCAAGGCCAGAACTAACCTCGCTAGGCTGTCTTGTTGCAATGTACTCAGTAGACATCACTAACGAGTTCAACTAGAAGATCTTCTCTCGCTGCACTGCACGTTGAACTCTCGAGCATCACAACCTTTGTTGAATTCATTCCCGGCAGGGCCTTTCCGATCATCACCTACTATAGATCTTATAGAGTTGACATAACTAATATATATATATAACATTATATAATTAACTATTTATAGGTGTGTATATAATATATATATAACTACATATAGCTAATATTTGTCCACCAAGCTCCAGGCACCGGAGTGGAATCTACAGACATGGGCTGCTCACAGTTGCAGGATGCTCGGTATCAGGATGTAACAGTGACACTGTGCCTTGCAGATTTTGGTAAAGGTGAAGGTCAGGCTCACAGGGAAAGCAGAGACTCATGCAAAGACAAACTGTTACAGCTAAGGTGTAGATGGAAGCTCGAGTAAAGCGCCAAGCAGCAAAGAGATTCGATGCCATTTGCCTGCAGCTGTTTCAAAAGCTGTTCTGACTAAAGACTGCAATCCGGACTCATCCTGCAAGATTGATGGATGATGGTGAAGTGTTTAGGATTGCTCTGAACATGTCGAAGTCAGATACTTTGAAACTTAGACCATGACAGTTTGCTAAATGTTTCTGAGGTGCCATTTCTTTGTATCGACGGCTTCAATGGAGTGATCCAACGAGCATTCTCGCGCGTGCTCGATGCTCGCAGCAGTAGTGCTGACACGCACCTGAGAAGTTCTTCCTTGAATTACTGTATTTATTGTCACACATGGGCAGAAATTCCAGATCCTTCCCTTGTCCAGTTGGGCTATTGGTATAGTATGGCTTTGGTGTATCCTGTTGCGTTACAAGCACACCCCGCACCCAACTTTGACACCCTAGGAATGTCAGCCTTGGAGTGCTTGCTCTCTTTGGCGCGGAGCAATCCATTGGCGCACGTGCGCAGACAGGCCTTCTACGAAAGACACACCTTATTGTGTTTATCCCACATGCGTGCGTGACACAGCTTCCTATTGAAGTATGTGTAGTTCTCAGTTCTAGCATGTTGTCATGGTTAGCTGGAGCTATCCCAATCATTTCTTACGTATCCTTACGTCAATAATTATATATATATACATTATATATATACACATATACATTATATAATACACAATTATATACATACATAAAGCCGTCAGTATTTTCACGTTCCCCATTATTGGTTATTACACATATCTTCCAATGCACCTGTCCATTGTTGAGACACCAGGCACTCTGCGGTTTGTCAGCCTGTTGTGTGGCAGATCCACAGCTCATCGCATCGCGTTGCGTGGCTGAAGCGGTGGCCGCAGGTCTGAAGCTCAGTTGGTCCGGCTCAGCGGCTCAAAGTGGAGTGCTATGCCACTATGTTCTGAGTGGATGCTATATTGACATTTATATGAAAAGCATATGACAATTATATATACAATTATATATATATAGTTATATAATGTCAATAATAATTATATATATAAGTATATATATATTTATAATTTAATAAAATTCTCTATATAATTATATGTACTCGTATATAATTATATTCAAGGAAGAAATCTACAGGAAAATATAGAGGGTAACTAAAATCCAACAAATCTGGATTAATTTGACCACCTGAAACTTCAAATCCTTCAAACATTATCAGAAAATAATAGGGATTTAATCTATTTTAAGCAAATTTATCCAAATTTAATCCGATTTTATCCAAGTTTATCCAAATTTTAAATTTCCTTGACTTCTGCCCAGCGGAACTGTTTGATTTCCTGCTTTTCCTGTATTGCAAAATGCGTACCTTTACCCCAAAAGGGACCGTTTTTACAACAGATTTATCAGGACTTTAAGCAAAAATAAATATCCCTTGTTTTTTCCTGTTTTTTTTCTTTGATATATGTAATTATATGACAATCATGTGTTGTGACTGGGGAGGCAGGGCTATGAAGGAAAGGGTCAGCTCTTTGAGTTTTGAGGCCTTCAAGACGAAGCTGCGTTTGCGCGACTCGCATCATTGGATCTTGTAGCGCAGCTTCAATGCCCTGAAGGTGCCGTTGAAATATGTTGAAATGGGGCCAAGTAAGGACAGTGGTTTCAAAGAATCCTGAAGCTTCATTGTGGGTAGCTTCGACCACAAGACAAACAAGTCAACACAACATTCCACACACTGTTATGGGTAGAATGACATGGTTCTGAAATGTTATAGACCTCTTTGCTCTTCACATCTCTTCCCCTTAGAGCAAACCTTGCCAGATTTTGCCAGGTGAGTTGAAAGCGGTGGTGTTGCCCAGACTCACTGAGCTCCGCCTGGTGGTGCGCAGCAAACTGTCGGACCCCTCGGTCTTGGTGCGCCGTGCCGCCTTCCGTGCGGCCGGTGCGTGGTTGGAGGAATGCCAGGATCCAGCGGCTCAGATCCAGGAGGCCGGGGAGATGCTGCGGCGCCTTCGAAATGAATCGCTGCAGATCAGGAGCCAAGCCTTGAGCGTCTTGGAGCGGGTGGTGTTCTCCAAGGGCTCCAAGGGCTCCAAGATGTCGAAACAACAACAGCAGGACACCATCCTGCAGCGGCTCTGCACCTTGCATGGCCACAATGGGGTTGGTGGAGCTGGTGTTCGTGATGTTCTCTCAGCCCATTGCAAGGCCATTGAAGGAAATGCCAACTTATCAGATGCGGCTGGAATAGCTACTGCAGCCATGGAGGAAATTGCCAGCTGCGCCCTGAAGTCATTGCCTGATGGTGCAGAGACCGAGAAGCTGGAGCTGCACTTGTCCCTCTTGGAGCAGCTCAGCTTGGAAAGGCCTGCTGCCTTCCACAAGCATTTGAATCGCTTTGCACAGTGGCTTCAGGAGCAGACCAACCCAGACACACCAGAAAGTTTGGTCTTGCCGATTGCCGCCTGCAATATTCTTGCACAAGTCCTACCCAGCTGGACTCAAAGTGAATCCACTCTGTCAAAGCAGAAGATGGCAAATACACTCACCGAGAAGCTTTCTTACCTTCTGGGCGAGGAAACAGCACCATCGAATGATTTGGGCCAATTGGCCCGGGTCGTTGTGAAGTGTTTGGCAGTTGTGGTTGAACATTTGTCCTCCGGTGCCCGGGATCTACTGATGGGCCATTTCGGGCGCAGCATCCGCATTCTCTCAGAAGCTATGCAGGAGATGGAGCAGCTGAGCCATGGCAAGATGTGTCGCCACACTTGGATCGTGGGTTCGCTGTTGGAGTTCTTGGATTCAAAGTCCATGGAATTGTTGGGAGAAGCCATTGCCCAAGTTTCTTGCAAGAATGGTGCACTGGACATCGTGTCCAAAGCTGCTGTGTCCTTACTTTCTGACTGCTGCCTCAGAGGCCCTGCTGCTGCCAAGCCTGCGATGATCCCAGCACTGGGTTTTGCCTTGCGCCGATTCCCTCAGCTATTGGACGATGGCAGCGATGGCAGCGGTGTGCCTTCAGCTCCGCTTTCCGTGCTGCGGCACGGCCTTTCAGCAGAGTCCAGCAGCAACGCAGCGAGCGTTTTGCGCCTGAGAGCCACTGAGACCTTCGCAGGCTTGGCGGCCTGCTACCAAGAAGCAGCCGAACTCAATGGCCCCTCCAAAAAGAAGGACAACTCTGCAAGCGTTGCAGCTCAGAAATTGGCAACCCTGCAACCTGAACTCATGGCAGTTTTGCAAGCTGAAGAGAAGACCATCCAACAAGCTCTGCGGGGCTTTCGTTCACTTTGTGACCTTGGTGTGATCCACCCTGCCTCGGCCATTCCTGGGATCATCACGGTGACAGTTGCAGGCAGGGTGTACTGAGTGTACTGTCATCCAGATATGTGTTGAAACCTCGCAGATATATGATCTTTATCCACATACATATGGACAAATTTACCTCAGCAGCTGTCCTTGTGGTCTTTGAACTCAGGAAGAATCGAATCTGTATACACTGTATACTTCTAAAGTGCGTTGTGAACGTGTTGCATAATGTTTGATGCCATTCATGAGCACATCGGTCAGTCGTTACCAGTAGTTTTCCTTCTTCAAAATGTCGCTCTTGGAGTGTACACAGGGTCTGTTTCCTTGTTCAAAATGTCTCCTTGATAGACTTGTCGCATTTGGGATAACAGGCCGAGATTCTGATTGTTGTTTGTCAAGTTTAGATGCGTTCCAGCCTCGTTTCAGGCACCAAGGCGGCTGCACGACACGCCAGGCAGCTGCTCCTTCGCCTCGTTGAGTCCGGCCCTCCTTTGTTGGCTCAGCGATGTGGTGCTGGGTTGAGAGCAGCTGCCCATCAGCTGGGTCAGATGGGTCTGGGCGAAGACGATGAGGTCTACAGCCAGACATGGCGCTTTGGACCTTTGTGCGAAGCATATGCCGAGTTCCTGGAGGGTAAACATCCACGAGATCAATTCTTATGTTCTCTGGTCTCGGAGGCTTTTTCTGAGGCAACTGCTTCGGGATCTTCGATGCTTCGCCTCCAGCTGATTGCTGGCCTGTTGGCCCGACTGCCTTTGTCAAAAGAGGCAGAACTTGCACGAATTGTGCATTCAGTGGTCCAATTCTTGACTTTGAAGGTGGCACCTTACCTTACACTTGATGATCAGGAGAAGGCAGACAAAGAGAATTTCCCTCCACCATCACGGGTGACTTGTGCCACAGCAGTTGTATTTCACAAGCTATGCACACATTGGTTGGACTTGGTGGGAGCAGATTTTACGAAGCAAATGCGTGAGACCTGGGGAAGCACCTTGAGTCTGTCGAACACAGACTTTGACCAGGCACTTCCCATTGCCTTCTCACGGCAGAATCTTCCAGACCTTGCAGGGCTCTTTCAGAAGATTGACTCAGCTGGGGCAACGGATGAAGCTCTCCTGGCAGAGATTGAGACAGACTCCCCTCTTCTGAATTCCAAAGCTACTGCACGAGCTCTTGCTATCAAGCCTTGTTCTCAGCGAAGTGGAAAGTAGGTGAGACTTCCCTCAACCTCCAATCTTCTGGCAGCTCAATGAATTTGTATGATCAACAACATAAGACAAAAGAGTAATATTATGTAGAATTAATATTGGATGCTGATTCCCTTTGTCACCCACAGACCCACAATTACATGGTAACTATGAAATTATGTACAGCATGTTACAATATGGTGTCTGCAGTTCCGAATGGAGAGCAGAAAGCGTCGCTTGGTTATCTCTTAATTTTGAAGATGCACATGCCATGTTTCGCTTTGCTCGTTTGAGGCAGCACTCTCGAAAGCGTGCTGCTACAGAGGACATCGAAGATGGATGCAATGGTTGTTTGCTGTTTTTTTTTTCCAAGAGGAATTGCGAAGTGAATGTGTAACAGTGTGACAGAAAGCAACACGTTTCAATTTAAGCTGACAATGCAACTTCCTGGGGGCAGCAAATAGGACAGCAAGGGAATCAAGAAATGTCGTCGAAATGGGCCAGCTGCGGCGAAGGCACCTCGTTTGATGAGTGCAAAGCCAGACTGCTTGTATACATCATTCATAGATATTATTAGATAGTAGCCTAGTATCATAGATTGCTCTGAAGTGGGCTGGTGGTGCGAAGAATGCATGGCATAGCCGGCATACCTGCACTGTACAAGAGGCAGCTGCTGTTACTGCGGCACAGGCCGACGCAATGTCGAAGGCAGGTATTCTGGTGAGTGCTGAGAGTCCAGTTGGATAAGAAAGATACAGTACATTTTTACTGATTTTGCCTGAAATTGGACATCATGCAGATTCGGGCCCGCGCTTGTGCCGTTTCTGTTGAAACGATTTTACCAAGAAACATGCAGGCTGCCGCTGCAACAGCTTAGTGGTACAAACCTCAGCCAGCTGAAAATTGTTCCTTTCTCGTTGATGTTTGAATATACGACGGTAATCCATAGTACAGATAGTATGTCGTTTATGTCGTTTCTTTGATTTGATTTGTCCTTGAGGGGAAGGAAGAAGTTGTCAAGCCTTCTAGATCCTTTGGTGCGAATTCAAGGCACACGTGGCTCCTCAACATGTGTGTTTATTTGTATATCATGTGTAGATAAGGACTAGTTCGTCATATTTGTTGCGCTTCCAGTTGCAAGCTGCTTTGACAGAAGAAATCCTTCAGAAAGTCACATTCAAAGTATGTCAGGATTGTATGAGACAATTGGCTGTCAGGAGAAGCGGCGTCCACTCTACGGGCGCCATAAGTTGCGTGAAATTCAGTGAGAACATGAAATGTAACTTTGTGCACGAACATCTTCAAGTTACTTGTGTTCGCTGATTTGGGGTGAAGAGTTTGGTGCTCATGATTCATCACGGTCATGACTCATGATTTCCGTTGTATTTTTTTGTTTCCACAGCTCCTACAGTGAGGAACAAGGTGCAGGTCTCTACTTTCAAGATATTTCAAGCAAACGCTTCGCCCCATTTCTTGGTCATGATCCGAAAGATCTCATGGGGATGGTGGCTTGCAGCAACAGATGACCAGTGGCCTGCAATTTCCAGCAATGACCGCAGCCTTTCTCATTGAATGTGCAGCTGCAAGCACTGGAATATCTGAAGACTTCATAATCGGGGAACTCGAGGGGCAAATCGAGACTCAAACAAATAGGTAAATAAAATACAATGAACATATAATATATATATATTATAATATATATATAATGTTAGTTAATGTATTAATATATTATTAAAATCCAAAAAAAACAATGGAGGGCTATTTGTTTTTTTATTTTCCAGCCTGGCTTTGTGGCTTTTGTGGCGTTTGTCTTCTCGGCTCCTTAGTAGTTTTTTCCCTTTTGTTGTGTTTGGTTCTTGTTCTTTGGCTTTTGTGGTTTCTTGGCAGTATGCGCAACTATCATACCAGCAGCGAATAAAACATCAATGAGAACTGATAAAACAAAATAATAGATGATATACCATGACAATGTTATACAATGATATATAAGAAAGGCACGATCCAATCCAACAATATAACTTATAGGAACACATTGATAACATCCAATGAAAAAAGTACTATTTACACCCAATACACCCAACAGGGTTGTGCCTCAACATACGTTCTATACATATATATATACATATACATAGTACTTGTAAACATATATACCTTGTATGCCTAAATGCACCTGAATCCAACCCTTAACAAATTAAATAAACCCTAAACCAACCCTAAATAGACCCTAGTTATCCCGGCAAGAGACCCCAAACAGTGTGGGGGAGTGGGAGGACAATGTATGATAATGTGGATGATGATGATGATGATGATGCTGATGCTGATAACGATAACGATAACGATAATAATAATGATGATAATAATGGTGAGGATGATTTTGGTCGACCTAGAACTTAGGACCATACTATATATTATTATTATTATATAGGTATAATAAATATATATTATATTTTAAATTTATTTGGAATATTATATTATATAACCAATATATTTATATATATATATTTATTTTCTTACTAATTTATATTTTTCCCCACCTGCTAGGTGAGGGTTGTTAGATTTTATGTTAGTTACCTCCTCCTCCTTTTCCTGCTCCTCTTCCTCCGCCTCCTCCTGCCTCGTCCTCCTCTCCTCCTCCTCCTCGTCCTCCTTGTCGTCCTCGTCGTCCTTGTCGTCTTTGTCGTCCTGGCTTAACTGCGACCCGCGATCCACAGTATTCTCTGTCGGACCTTAACCACGACCACCTACGCCTAGTATTCCCTGCCGGACCTTAACCACGACCATCCACGCCCAGTGTTCCCTGCAGGACCTTAACCACGACCATCCGCGCCTAGTGTTCCCTGCCGGACCTCAACCACGACCATCCGCGCCCAGTGTTCCCTGCCGGACCTTAACTACGACCATCCGCGCCCAGTGTTCCCTGCCGGACCTTAACCGCGAATATCTATGCCAACTGTTCCCTGACATATCTTCTGGTATTCTATCTGGTAAATCTTCTGGTATTCTATCTGGTAAATCTTCTGGCATTTTATCTGGCATTTTATTTGGCATATCTTCTGGCATTCTATATGGTAGATCTTCTGGTATTCTATCTGGTATATTTTTTGGCATTCTATCTGGTAAATCTTCTGGCATTCTATTTGGTATTTTATCTGGTATATCTTCCGGCATATATTCTGACATATCTTCTGGCATTCTATCTGGCATATTTTCTGGTA